GCAGAATGCTCATGTAGCTGAAATATAACCACCTTTAATATTGAAATTTATACTTAAGTTTTTAAAAGTTGAAATAATATTTTTATAATTAAAATAGTATGTTGGAAAAGTTTAAAGATAGAGCTTTAGTTATTTTTCTTAGATGTAACCTTTACGTTTTTTTTCAATCCACAACCTTTACTCGACAACAGAGTTTTGAACAGTTGAGTTGTGAGAATGTGAGCAGCTGCTGTTATTATAACTAAAGGTCTGTCTACTGCTTGAGTCTGAGAGACCACATGTTCGGCTGTCCTCTCATCTTGCCATCCTCACCAATTAACTATTAACATGGAGGGCTGTACACATGCTCTTGGGGGCTCTTTAACAGGCTTCTTGGCGAGTGGAACAACTACACAGCAGGGATCTGGGAACCGAGTAATGCTGGAATATAGGGGAGCCGTCCATAGTTCTGCTCCTTCTAATGACACTTTACTCCATAGTTCAGCATGTAACAAAGTCTGTATTTAACTTAGCCATTTTCACATACATTTTTAGTATAGTGTCTTTGGGCAGATACTAAAACTATATTCTAGCAAGAGATAATATGAGTAATAATACTACTTCACAGGGAAAATTGTTTAAGACTATATATACATATTTTAAGGCATTGATATCTCATGAACAATTTTAGTGTATTTTAAACAGATATTTAGAATTTATTTTTATATATTTGTTTCAAAGTATGCTTGTCATTTTTTCCCTGTGGTTATGGAAATAAACTTTAATTAACTTAAAGGAAATAAAAGATTTCAAGTTCAAAGTTATGAGGCTGAACATAAAATATTTCAAATGCAAATTTAAGAATAATTCTTGTTCACTCTACTTGCAAAAGTCTTATTATAACAATAAGTTAGAATCAGTTTTGAATCTATGTCATTATTTTCCCTGTTTTAACTTTTCCCCCTCTTTGTAATTTCCTTAACTATGTGTTCCTTTCCTACAATAAAATTAAACATGGGAAGCATGCCAAAAGTACAATAAAGGGTAACTAATCATTACTGTACAAGTCTGACAGGATGCTAATAACTAAAGTAAGAACACTGATTGGGTGGTTTACTAATTTAAGAGATAAACATATTTTATATACAGTACTTTTATTCTAGTGTTACTTTATATAATGCATTCCAATAAAAGTACAATTTTATTGTCTATAGATGTTTAATTATAGGACAAAATTTCAAGGATATCAAATACATTTCTATTTTCTACCAGAAACCACTTTACTATCAACTCCCAAGCTCAAGTATCCACATACCCACATATACTATTATACTTTTCTGCTATCTTTTGCATTGCTGAAAAATGTCCATGAAAATAGGAACCTTATTTGGCTTGTTCACTACTGTAAGCCCACTGGTACCTAGAACAGTGCCTACATTATTTGTTGAATGAGTGAATAAGCTAAATTACCCTTAGCCATTCAATCATCATTTAAATCCTGCTGTACAGTCTCCAGATATGACACTGGTCATAGTGGAAAGGAAGTTGATGTACGATGTTAACAGTCCTGTTACAACATGGTGATGCTATTAAGATTTGGATGGCCATCTAGCTTTATCTATACCTGCTGATCTGTCTCAGGCCTGACCTCTGAGAAGATTCTGTCATCGTCTTTTATAAAAAGAGGCAGAAGGCTAAAGATATCTATTGTTTTGATAGACTTGTACACCTTATTTTTTGTAGTCTGATCTCTGTTCAATTTTTCAATTTTGGAGGTCTGTTTAAGTAATAATTGTCTGAAGATGACAATTGCTAACATATATTGAATGCCTACTATGTGCCAGCATTGTGTCAGCAGATGTTATTGATAATCTTCTGACTTCAGTATTTTTTTGCTCCATTTTTACAGATGAAGCTGAGGTTGAGAAAGTTAAGACTTGATTAAGAACATCGAACTGACTAGGTCTATTTGTCTCCAACCCTCCCAGCTCTTTCTATCATTGAATGCTACTTTGTACACACTCTGTTTTTAAATTTTGATTCTATTTCAGCACCTTTATTGAATAAGCAGCACAGCACAGTGGTTAAGAATATGGTAATTGGAGGGGGATTGCTTAGGTCTAAATTCTGCCACTAGGTAGCTGTGTGATTTTGGGAAAAGATAATGACAGTATCAACCATATAGGGTATTGTGAGGATGAAATGAGTTAATAGAAAAGAGTTTAGAACTGCAACTGGACTACAGTAATCGCCATGGAACTCTCTATTAAATAAACTCAGGGTCCCCTGGTTGTGCACATTCATGTTTTTGATTAGCTTTCTAAGCATACTGCTTCCAATTCTTAGTCTCTTTCCTTAGCCTAAAGATTGTGATTTTCCTTGCCAGTCTTTAAAAGTTATGAAAAGTTTATATTATGACTGGTTGGAGCAAACTATTTAGCTTTATATTTTCTCCTAAATATTTTGATATAAAAACAAATACATGGTCAGACATCTTGTTTATAGGGCAAGGGAATAATTTATTTGCTCAACTGATAATACAGCCAAAAGACTACTACTATATGATACGTTTACGTAAGTGTCTAGGGAAGAAAGTATGAAAAATGGGAAAATTTTAGAAGGTTGTATAATTTTTCAAAAGACATTCCCTGTTTTGAGGAACATGTCTTAATTCTTGGTGACATTGTGTAACTTTATAATTATCACCAGAGTCTGACCCTATATTTTGCTATTTCCATTTCAAAATAGTCTCTTGACTGCTATGTTAAAAAGCATAAATTTAAATTATATCTCTTCCACTTATACAAGGGCTTAAGTATATTTGTAAAGTATCAAAATTAAAATGTTGCTTCATGTTCTGACATCTAGCTTACCTCATCATTCAGTCTTTATTTAATCAGTGCTGTAGATAGGCTAACTTGAGGTCACCTGATAGTATCGCTGTTGTTCCCTTAAACAGAGGCTAGAGGAATCACTGTAACAGACAGTCACAGTGGGGTGGGAATTTCTTAAGTATTAATAATAAAGATTATCACCAAAAAAATGGCTTTTGAAAAGTGTTTTCCTTTCCATTTTTTTTTTTTGCATATGTTCCATTGGGATAAATTTTTTAAATGACATACACACATATATTTCATAATTGTTTTTCTTTGCTTTGTAATTATGCAAAAGAAAACATGCTTTCATTTTTTTCATCCTTGTCTGGAATGGGATTTTTTGCTTAATCTTTTACATGTACTAATTTATCAAATATTTTACAATAATTTTCTCTTTAAAAATGCTGAATAACAATGTTGGCCAATAACTTTTTCCCCTAATAGAGAGTGAGTGTCATCAAAGGTAATTAATAATTCAAGACATATAAGGATATAGTGTGATAAGAGGGGAACGAGTTTAAGTTTTAACTCAGATCTGAGCCTGAACACCAGCTTTGAATGTATAATAGACACGAGGCACTGTAGAATCATTTAACTTCAGTTTAACTGTCTTTGTAGTTAACATCACAGCTATCTTGCAGGGTTTTTGTGATGATTAGGGAAGCTATATAATCTAAAAGTGAAGATGGTGGAATTTGAAGCCAGGGGAATACACTTGGCCCTGCCATTTATTAACTGGGTGACTTTGTGAAAACAGAAGTAAAAACTACCTATTTCATAAGGTTGCGGTAAAGATTCAAGGACATAATGCTTTTAAAGTGCTTGGCACATAATATGTACCTATGAACTAGTTGTAGCAGTAGCACAGTTGTAGTAATAGTATGAATAGCAATATTTTCATCAGTATTGGATAGGTCTGTTTCAGGTTTATTTAGTGTCAAAATCAAAAATCTCACTATGTCTAACCAAACTACTATTAAAGTATTAACTTTAAAATAACATCAACAATGAAAACAATACAAGTATGTGTACAATGTCTAAGATGATTAGAGAAAGGAGTTCCTTATGCTACAATTTTTAGTTCATAAGAATAATTTGGGTCCAGACACAATCTGTAAAAAGGCTTTAAAGGAAAACTAAGTTATCCTCTCATATCTATTATAAATAAATAAATTCTACTGGCCAAGGAGTCCAAATTCTACTGGCTAAGGAGTCTTATTTATGCCAACCTTTTCCATCATAGCATCAAAATTTGCTATATATGCTGTATATAATTAGCATAACTATTATAATAAAGATTCAAGTAGTTTCAACAATTAGGTATTAGAAATAATTTTCCAAGTAAGAATCAATATTCATTTAATCAACATTTATTGAATATCTAGAAAAAGCTTGGGTGGTGTGCTAAGAATTCTTAAATCACATTTAATATTATATGATTACCATAAAGCCATATAAAGAAAAGAATAAATATTTGGCCCCATCTTTATGGACACTACAATGTATTAGATATATAAGATTATATGAAATCACATGCTTCAGGCAGACAGTAAGTACTTTAGTAAACAGTGCTAATAACAAAAAGAGAACTAGTGAATGTAAAATATATTAACATACAAATTGAATATTAATTAAAGAAACCAAAAGCTGTTTGAGAAGATGGACTAAAATTGTGTGAAAAATTAAGACAAGAATACATTGATTTATTCGTAAAAGATAAAAACTATAAAATATTTAGAAGAAAACACAGGAATAAGACCTTGGAGAGAGCAAAAACTGGCAAAATCGGGGAGATAAGAGAGAGAAACCACTAACCACTTAAAGAATTGATAAGTAAAACTTTATTAAGATTAAAAACTTTAGTTCTTCAAAAGATATTGATATGAAAATTAAAAAGGCAAGTCATAGACTAGAAGAAAATTATGGCAAAGTTGTACCTAAAATATCAAGGAATTTTTAAAATTGATAATGAAATTACCCAATAAAAAATGGACAAAAGACTTGGACAAAAGAAGAGGTGCAAATGGCCAAAAAGCACATGAAAAGATGGTCAACATCATTAGTTATTGTGGAAATGCAAATTAAAACCACGTGTCATAACATTTCACCACTAGTTAGGGGAAAGTAGTTTTGGAAAGTTCTTACCTGAATCAGATGTGTTGGCATCGTGATGATACAGGCTGAAAGAGAGGTTCGCAGAAGACCACGGAGAAGATAGAGAAACTTGGTAAGGCTATGACTGTTGTCACAGGTTTCTGTACAGCAAACGTCATCTCCCCATAAAGGTGAGCCAAGATTCTGAATTCCTATTCTTAAAATGTTTTTCTGTTTTTTCTAAAGGAAAGTAGGAGGGAAGTAAACATATAAAGTTTTGTTAATCAATAGGATACCTCTTTTATCTGCCAGTTCTTATTTTTATTTATAACATCAGGGATATAATGTCAATAGATGTGTTAAAAAATTTTGCATACTATTAATAACAAGACAATATAAAGGAAATCTTTTAGATTATAAGATTATAAAAATTTACAGAACTGACTTATTACCCATTTTGGACAATCTGAAAAGTATCGCAAGTTTCAAGCTTTATATTGTGTCTAAATTTTAACAGTGACTATTCTATGAATTATGTTTGAGGCACTTAAAATAATATATAACAAATCACAGGTAATAATAGAGAAAATCTAAACTAGAATGCTTGCAACCATTCTCAGTATTAGAAAATTTTGTAAATCTTTCAATAAACTATAAATTGCTCAAGATTTCTTATTTAATTTTATCCTACCTACTGCCTAATCTTTTTTTTGAAAAGAGTTTATAGATGTATAACTTTTTGGTTTTACATTTTATACTTGCCTCTAGTTTTCCTTCTTGAAGCTGTTGTTAACAATAATTCAAGTTCAACATTTTTCATAAAATTTAACAGGGGAATATTTAGATCTTGAGCCTAATGACATTAAGGTCATAATAACAGTGACTGCTATTTCTTGGGGAAAAAACATTTAAAAACCATTAAAGAAGCCCTAGGATGACTGTCAAGAAGTGTTTACACCAGCAGATGTGTTTATAAAAAATTCTACTGTTTGGGCAGTCCTAACCGAACAAATGTTTCGTGAATGCTTTCCTTAAGCATCCAGCAAAATTTCTGGGCTAAAGAAAGAGGCATTAACAAAACTGAAATATGCAAATAATTGAAAAATCTTATTACAATTCTGATGGGAAAAATAAGATTTTTCTCTCTTAAAGTGATGATTTGGGATATGTGCCACTTTAGATGTGATTTCTGATGAAATAAGATCCTCAAATGTATCACCCGATATAGCTATAAAATATCACTAATGAAATTTATTAACCAAATAATTATTATCGAAAACAAAATATCTATTTCCCTGATGTTACCTTTGAAAGTTGAATTTGTGTATTACTTTTCCAAACAAAATGTATTGATAAAGGAAAGAAGAAAAAAATGAATAAAACATTGAAATGTTAGAAGAGGAAAACCTAAGGGAACAGCAGCCAGTAAGATGACAAGAGACTTACAGTCTGTACTACGTAATTAAGTAGATGTATGATTCTGGGCAAGACACATACATTACTTAGGCCTTAGTTTTCTCATCTCTAAAACTAAAAGGATAGAAGAGAATATTGTTCTATGATTCCATACAATTCTTTGAATGCATGAAGGGACACACTGGCCTGGATAAGACTGTAAGAATGAGATTACAGAAAAAGGAATTTAGACTAAGCACATTAGAAAATAACTTCCTGACTCCAAGGACCTGAAACATGATGACACTAGTAAGGCAGCTGGTCTAATTTTTTTTTTTTTTCTGATTGTGTTAAGGTCATGGGAGACGACCACCTAAGACACCCTATGTTATGATCCTTGATGGTCCAAAAAAGTTGTTTTATTTCTAAATTACTTGAATGAAATGAAGTATTGAGGTGTACCAGGACATACATTAGACAAATAAATATATTACTAGTGAATTAGTGTAAGATATTTGTGAAATATGATAGGTTATTCCTTTTTCTTTATTACTTAAAACCTCAGAATTTAAGTAAAACGGCAAGAATTTAAGGTTTATTTTGCCATCTCTAAAATTACCACGCGGTAATTAAGTTAGATTCCTAACAGAGAGAACAATCTAGAAAAAGGGAGAGAGAAACTTATGAAAAACCCGTAGGTATTTGAATGAAACTCAAAGGTAAAAGAGAGCAGAATAATATTGTTTCCCCTGTCAACATTTCAGAAAAGATCTGTTCCCAGTATTGTATCAAAAAGTACCTGCTAAAAGTTTATAACACAAATGCTGTTTAGGCACAAAATCAGAAGAACTACAGAAGTTTAGTGACTGTGACAAATACACTGATACATGTACACAGAAAGAATGAAAATATTAAGACAAAGAATGAATGGTGATATCTCAGTGAGGTAGGTACACAGCACATCAGAAAACAATTGAGCATAATACTTCGACATGAGAAGTGCAGTTATGTTTTTAAAAATATGATTGATGGTAACTGCAAAAACAAAGGCTGAATTACAAATCTGTGTTGTTTGGGACACAATTTCTTTGCTATGCCATATAAGAATGGGGCATACTCTATGGCACAAGATTTAAAACACAAGTGTTTATTGTCAGTTGTACAATAAATAAATTTATTCCTATGAGAACACCTAAAACATTTAATCTGGTATGCTAAGTAAAATCAACATCCAAATTTCATTTTTATCATATATTTCTTAGATATTTGAAAAATCACAACTTAAAAACAAATGAAATTATGATAGAATTTGTAAATGTCTCCACTTCAATTATCTTTACAAATAAGCTACACTACTTTACTTACTATTAGGGTTAATTATAAGGTAGTATGTGATATTCTGTTCATTAGAGTTATTTTTATATGTTGTCTCCAATTAATTCAGTTTATTTGAAAATGCAGTGATAAAAAAAGATGAAAATTTCCTTTTAAAAGTTAGGATTTATTTCAATGTCAGAACATTATTTTAACTCAGGAATATTTTTTGCAGTAGTGCCTGGTAGATGCATTTTTGTGCCTTCTTGAACCCATCGAAAGTTTCTAAGTCAGATGTACAGACTAGGTAATTTAGCAAACAGTACCATGTACTGTATAATTTAAACATATGGAATTTCATTAACTATATTTTAGTTCCAATAAAATTGGAAGTATATTTTTTATAATAACTTATTGGCATATTTTAATTTTTAAATTTAACATTCTTGGTATTCACCATAGAAATGTCTATGTAACCCTATTTAGTCTTTAGAAAAGTCAACAGTTACAGAATATTTGGTTCTGAGAGCTGAACCAGCTCGTTTGTCTATCAATTTTCATGGAAAAAAATATTGTTTCTTGAAGATGGTGTTGTTTTCATACCCAAATAAACAACTAAGAAAAGAAACATTTCATTCCATTCCAATATTCGCTTACTTATTAAGGATTCTTGAATATATCCGTGTGTGTATGTGTGTGTATCCCTTTTGCTGCTGCCTTTGCTTTTTTGGATTCTATAAAATTTCTTACTCTCAGAAGATGTGTCATCATCCTGCAAAAGCAGCAGCTCTGCACACTGTACCATAGGAACTGTTATGACATGCCTGTCTCCATAGTTACCACAGCAAGTGGGGAAAGGTGTCTGTCAAGGACCAATTTACCTCTCCAGACAGGCCAAAAGGTACCAAAGGGAAGATGTGGTACCCATAAATCTTACATAATACCAAAAATGGAACAACAATGAGCAAAATAAAATTGTATTAAATACCAAAGGCCATCACAAAAACTGTGACATACATGAAAAGCCATCTATAAATAAATGTCTGTGCTTTACCACTGCAGTCCCCATCCCCAATCCTCCCGCCCCCACTCCCGCACAGCAGGAGGCAAGCGGCGGGAGACTGGGCGAAGCCCCACCTGTACCCCACAGCCACTGCCCATTGCTCCCATCACCACCCTAGCCCCGCCGCCAGTCAGATCAACGGTAGCATCAGATCCTCATCGAAGCGCCAAACTGTGCATGAGAGGGATCCAGGTTGCAGCGCTCCCCATGAGAATCCACCGCCTGATGATCTGATCAGGAGCCGAGGTGGTGCTGCCCCACCTTTTGTGGCCCCCGCACCCCCGCCTTTATGGAAACCCATCCCTGGTGTCAAAAAGGTTGAGGACTGCTGCTTTACCACACACAATTATTTTCAACCTGCAATTAAACTGGTAATAAAAACAAATCTAAAAATTATTTATTTTGCCAGGGAAAAGTATTGAATATAGTAATAAAGGTTACAAGAAGATTTTAAAATCTATGAATTAAGAGCATATGTAGCTGATAATGCCAAAAATAAGACATTTGGCTTAATACGACTTCTTTGTCTTCAATAAAAATAATGGTGCTCTGAAAATACTTCTGTTAAAATAATACAAATGTAATGCAAATCTTTTAGCAGCAAAAGCAACTAAAATCACCGAGGAAGAATTTTGAAAGGCATGATATTTAGAAATAAAATTTTCCTTATTTTGTTTAAGTTAAACTAACCAGAACATCTTTATTAGTGGGAATTTGGAGGAAGTTTTTAAAATTAGAGCTACAGAGAAATAGTTGTTATAAAATATTTTATTATAGCAAATTAAAATGAATCTTTTATTCAATGAAACAACTCAAAGCATAATGTAGTAAGAAATAAAATCTCAAGATAATTCTTACTCATAAGGTAATTTGAAATTAAGGCCTGAATGACAAAACCAGAAAATTTAGATAGAAAAGTACCAGTCTTGCAGATTTAAAAGTTAATTTTTATAATGCAGCTACTTATTAATCCCAGATGCTACAAATACATATTTAAAAATAATTAATGTTGACAATGCATATGTACATCTTATGTGTCTTCACAGAGAACTTAGCTAAAACTCTAAATACAAACAAGGGCTTCCTGTGATCTGTGCTTGAAAACAGCTTTTTCACTGTTGATTATTCTAAGACTTTCTGGGTCCCCCCCAGAGAATTTGAAAACAACATTATATATGTGATTATAAAAAGCTTTGAAGGTACTCAATACCTGAGGATTGGATCCATCAAATCCTTCCTCATAAATGATGTTCTGGATAAACTGAAGCAGCTTTAGGTAGCCATGGGTCAAAGAACTGTTGGTAAGAAATGTCAAATACATAAATAGGCTTATTATACAGGAAGTACAAAATCTACACTAAAAGATCAAGTAAATAATTAAAAGGTATACACTTATTAGGCTACTTAAATATAAAATAAAATGTCCCCAAATAGTATTAAATAATCCTAAAATATAAAGTCAATACATACAAAGAATAAGTTATAATGCTTTATATTAACTTGCTCAGCATTCTTGACATCATGGGAAGATAAAAATCTGTGGAGACTGAGATGACTTAATTATGTCAGGCTTAGTTACCTCCAAGAAAATTAATGATTTAATGAAGCAACCTAAAAGATGAAGCCACCATAGCTTTTCAGGAGTAATCATACATAATTAACACATAGTTAATGACCTGCTATGCCAAATACACCTGAATCAATGTCCCAATCACCGGAGCTCATTTTCCATCAAAGTTTCAATTTTCTTAGAACAAATTGCTAAAATAATAGTAATTTAAAAACTTGCTCTTTTAAGACACAAGAAGACAGGTGAGTATAATGTCTATTAAATTTACTGTTTATTCACTTCCTTTTAAAAGATAATAATATGTGAATTTAAGAAGATAACCTAAATTACTTCCCACATGAATAATAGCATTAATGTTACTATTTTAAAATATTTTACAAATACTATGAAATATCTCAAAGAAAATTTAGTAAGAATGAGGAAAATCTGCTTTAGATTAACTGGTTACAATTCTGCATAATGGACGATCTGTGTGCGATGGCTGAACATTAAATGCCATGATAATGAGGCTCTGGAGCATAGCTATTCCACAGACGCTGAAGTGCCCAGTGCTGTTAAAGCTGTGGGTGACATTAAAAATACAAAAGTATTTGCTCTACTGCGATCCTAAGTAAAGCAATCACGTAGGCAGAAAAAATGCCCTAAAGAAATAATGAAATATAAATTGAAGTATGCAAGCAATAGTAAAGAACATAAAAAGTTAGGAAATGTAGTGGGCTGCTTAGTGTGCAAAATCTATGGCAGGTGGTTCAGCAAAAACATGTACATCTCTGTAAACATGTTATTGAATAGCTACAGTTAACCTAAAAGTATTTATCTTACAAAAAGAAAGAAGAAACCAAAAGAAAAGAACGCTGTCCTGTACAAAGCAAAGATGGCTCCAGATAATGAAGAATTTGGTAATATGGTTATTTCTTATATAGTTATTTCTCCATTTTCAATGTAAATATAGATTACAGAGACACATTTTTCCACTTTCATAAGTGAGGAAATGTGTCTGCAAATAATATGTGCAAGGGCAAATTTTTGACTATTTCATATTTTCACACACATTTGTCCTGGATAGCTCAACTTTCAGAAGATAGTACTGCTGCTGAAGGCAATAGATTCAATTCCTATCCAGGTCAATTAGTTTGCACAGGGGGTAAAATCTGCTCCAAGTTTCCAGATTATGAAATGAATTCCAGCTGACCATTTAATGAATGTCACTATGGGTTAAAGAAGGCTGGGTCAAGAATATATCCAGTGTATTCTAATCCACCAATAATAATTCTACTTCAAATCATTATTTCACATAATAATAATAGGACAATGCCATATTTGTATTTCTGTGCTTGTCTCATTTCATTTAGCATAATATCCTTCAGTTTCATCCACATTGTCACAAATGACAGGATTTCCTTTTTTTGAAGGCTAAATAATATTCCATTGTGTGTGTGTGTATATACACCACATTTTCTTTATCCATTCATCCACTGATGAATACTTAGGTTGAATCAATATCTTGGTTATGGTGAATAATGCTGCAATAAACATGGGAGTGCAGATATGTCCTCAACATACAGATTTCATTCACAAGCCACATAATAACGTTTCAGTCAACAATGGACCACATATATCATGGAGGTCCTATAAGATTATAATGGAGCTGAAAAATTCCTATCACCTAGTGATGTCACAGCCATTGAAACATTGCAGTGCAACACATCTCTCATGTGTTTGTGGTGATGCTGGTGTACATGAACCTATTGCA